GAATCCCAAGATTGATGTTTTATTTTCCCATGTGTGGCTCCTTGAATTCCACCATGGCTTTTAGTGCATTTGCCCCCTTGGATTCCGGCCGGCTGCTGGTTTTCCCGTGCCTGGGCTCTTTCCCGTGACCGTGCCCCTTGGTTCCAGTCGGTCTCCTTGGTTCCCGTGGATGCCTCTTTGGTTCCTTGGCTTGGGATGTTTTTTAGGTATTTTAATGCTATGTGATGTTTAGAATTCCTATGGGAATTTATTAGGTGTCTCTTAGTATTCCTCTTTCATACCTATAAATATGGGAGGATTTGTAATGTTTTAAAAAAGTGAATGATATGTTATTTTTGGAAAAGCTATAACCTGCGGGTTTGCTTCGGAAATTTTGCGGGCTCTTTCCACCCTTCTTTCTCATCCCCTCGGGAAACCCTGCGGGCTCTTTCCAACCTTTCTTCTCGACTTCTAACCTCTTTCGTCTCTCCGCAAGTGCCACTCCACCTGTATCCCTCTTCTCTAAGTGAAGCAACTTTAGGGTGTCGTCTTTAATTTTAATTTTACAAGTCGGCGTCGTTTGTAAGTCTTTTGATTTCTAGTTTTTACATTTTATTTGAAATGTAAGAGTTTGTTCTTCCTTTTCTCGTCTTTAGTCATTTTCGTCGGTAGAAGTCCAGTCTCTTTATTTGTTGGCGAAGGGTATAGGCACCCCTATATTTTTTGCCCGCATCATTTGGTATCAGAGCAAGTTAGGAAGTCCTAGGTTTGTGAGTTTGTCAAGTTTTGTTTTAGTTTATCAAGTTTTGATTTTGTTTGTCAAGTCTTGTCGAGAGTCTTGTAAGTCTTATCGTGAGTCGTATTTTAAGTTTAAGTTTAGATTGGTTTATTTTTGAATCTTTTTGAGTCATTTTAAAAATGAAAAAATGAAAAAAGATAGAAGAAAACAGACCTGAGGAAATTGAAAATCCTATGGATAAGTGGATTCTATCAAAGTCAGCAAATCCTCTGGAGTATGAACTATACAAACTTCAATCATGGATGCACATACGTACAAAAAGGTACTTCAAGAAAAAGCAGCGTTTACAAGATAAGTTTCTGAAAGAACGAGATGAGATCTTGTAGAAATATGAAGATAAGATCAAAGAGCTGGACATGACGCCTTTGCCTACTCAAAAGAAACCGAAGCTAACTCATCGGGAGATGAGTTCTCAAGAAGGGGAGTCTGATGTAGGCAAAGCGAGGGTCAACTCAGGTCCAAATTAAATCAATTTTGGCCTCTCCCGAGTCTTCAAGCTCAAAGAATTTTGAGCTGGAATTTAGCTCATTTATGAGCTGATTTTTAGTTCATTTATTGGACTAGAGGTTAGCTCATTATTAGCTAAGTTTTAGCTCATATTTATCTTCTATTTAATGCATTTTTATTATAGTTTTTAATGTTTTAAGTTATGGTGTCTCTTGGGTTCCAAAAGGGCTTTTGGAATCCCAAGATTGATGTTTTATTTTCCCATGTGTGGCTCCTTGAATTACACCATGGCTTTTAGTGCATTTGCCCCCTTGGATTCCGGCCGGCTGCTGGTTTTCCCGTGCCTGGGCTCTTTCCCGTGACCGTGCCCCTTGGTTCCAGTCGGTCTCCTTGGTTCCCGTGGATGCCTCTTTGGTTCCTTGGCTTGGGATGTTTTTTAGGTATTTTAATGCTATGTGATGTTTAGAATTCCTATGGTAATTTATTAGGTGTCTCTTGGTATTCATCTTTCATACCTATAAATATGGCAGGATTTGTAATGTTTTAAAAAAGTGAATGATATGTTATTTTTGGAAAAGCTATAACCTGCGGGTTTGCTTCGGAAATTTTGCGGGCTCTTTCCACCCTTCTTTCTCATCCCCTCGGGAAACCCTGCGGGCTCTTTCCAACCTTTCTTCTCGACTTCTAACCTCTTTCGTCTCTCCGCAAGTGCCACTCCACCTGTATCCCTCTTCTCTAAGTGAAGCAACTTTAGGGTGTCGTCTTTAATTTTAATTTTACAAGTCGGCGTCGTTTGTAAGTCTTTTGATTTCTAGTTTTTACATTTTATTTGAAATGTAAGAGTTTGTTCTTCCTTTTCTCATCTTTAGTCATTGTCGTCGATAGAAGTCCAGTCTCTTTATTTGTGGGCAAAGGGTATAGGCCCCCCTATATTTTTTGCCCGCATCAAAAATACATTTACATGTTTACTTTAGACTTCTAAATTACGTTTAATTATTTATTTAAATTTTCTTGTTTCTAATTGAGCTCTTCTTTGAGCATTTATGATATTATTTTGCCACTTTTGGATTACTCTCAGATACTTTATTAGTAGGAAACCAAGCTCCAATTTGTATGATGTTACTTATTATTAGGTTATAAGTCAAAAATACTTTGTTTTTCACATTTTTAATTAATTTAATATTTAATTTTGAGGCTTGGGCCTTAGCTCAAGTAAATAACATATCTCAATACTTGATAGCACAATTTCAAACCTTGATTATTAGATTATGGGTAGATGGGAGATAAAGAAAGTGTAGGCTCAACTCGAGCTGCCATCTGGTGTAGCATATTTACTTCTTACAAGATGGATCAAAAAATTAACATAAGGAGATAATAATACTTTTGTAAATAAAATGAATTATAATCATATTATTATAGTAAATATAAAATGAATTATTATAAAAAAACAACATCATAAGGAAAACACAGAGAACAATTATAATAATGAGTTATTTTCTTATGAGTATTATTTGTGCCTATAACTTGAGAGACCTTTCTATTTATGGAAAACCTAGAATTTTCATGAAGAATTGGACAATTTGAAAGTTTCTTCTATCGCATCCCTTGCTTGAAATTCTATAATGCATTACCTCATCCTCTAAGAATTTAGAGTTGTGTAAGATAGATGATTCCCCTTCTTACCATGCCTAAATTATCACAAAAGCTAATCTATTTATAATAGAAATCTACCCTACTTATTATTGTAATATTTCCTCAATATTGAGGATATTCTCCTATATTGTATTTTCATTGATTGTTTTTTTTCTCATGCCTATATATAAGAACACATATGCTTATACTAAAAAACAGTCAAGAAAAGATAGTCATTTACAATTCTCTCTCTTCTAACATGGTATTAAAGCACAAGTTTTTAAACCCATAGCTTAAACGTCTATAAACTTTGATGAAGTGCAGCATAAATTTGCTCATCTATCTTCCTTTTCTCACTTTGGCCTCCACATAAAGCTTCTGATCTTCATCATCAACACCTGAGGTACTTTAGCTCCTCTATGTCTTCATCGATAAGTATGACTCGCAACTTCCTCTATTATCTGATGGAGATAATGTAAGAGGCTTTTGATTTCACTATGTCTATGTTATATATTAATAGCCTTCGCCAACTCTCATTGTTCAGTCTCAATAATAATACTCTTCATCAATGCAAGGATTTTATATTAACCTTCTTCGTACAATTCTCAATAGTGACTTGCATTTTCTATGACGAATTAAACATGGACAACGGAATAAAAAAATTTTGAATATTACATTTTTGCTCGCTATTATTTCTTAACCCAAGATGGCATCTGTATGTGTTTTTTCTTCTTTTTTTTTCTCACGCAAGGGTGGGGGGCACTATCACATATTTATTATAGGAATATGCACGGTTATTTTTCTTAATAATTTCTAATTATTTATAATATTCTTCCTTATCTTATATATATATATATATATATATATATATATACATACACACCAAACATGATTGAAGTAGGCCTTGCTCATGTTTGGCTGGCTAAGCAAATGTGCTTATAAAAATAATTTGAACTCGAGCTAATTATCAAGTTGAACATGATCTAACACGAACAACAGCCTTTTCAGACATCCCTAGTTGCTAGTGTTAAGACATGGGAGGCTATGAGTTTAGTCCCACATATGATATATTAAGAGAGATGGATGTAGTTGCTAGTGTTAAGGCATGGGAGGCTATGAGTTTAGTCCTACATATGATATATTAAGAGACTTAGCCCCCCCCCCCAATCATTAATTCCCCTAATTGGAGCTTAAATCAAGACTTCAATTAAAGCTCAATTAATCCCAACTTTCCCTCTCAAATCCATAATTTGAAATCCCATTAACCCCAAATTAAATTAGGAAAATTCTGAAATTTACTTCAGATTCCCTCTCAAGCTATGCTCACTCACCCGTCTCCTAAAACCGGCCCACCCTCCCCCTCTCAACCACGGCCGACCTTCCCTCCCCCAAACCACCACCCCTCTCTCTCCCTACCACCTCAACTCTCCTCTTCCCCACTCAAAGCAAGTAGGAAAGGACGATTCAAACATTGATCATGAATTCGTAGAAGACTCCTACGGGCGAGCCGACATCCTTTGATCCACTTTCTTTGACTTCAATTTGGACTTCGACAACTCGGTGAAAGAATATGTGGATCGCATCCTTTATCAACTAAAACATACGTAAATTTAGAAAGACAATCTACGCAGAAGGATATGGTACACCTAAGATGTAAATCCATGCATACCAAAATTCATAAAACACATTGTGACCATAAACAAATGATATTCAAACTTTTCTTGGTCATGTAACTTTTCGGGAATATGAATTAGCAACTTTTAAGCATACTTCATTACTTCCAAATGTTAAATAATAGAGGATTCTTTACAATTTTACCTGGTTTTTTAAAAAAAATAATCAGAAGAAATATCAACTATATAAAATTTGGGTTAGCGGTTATGATTTACAGGTGATTTGTCAGGACGACAAATTTTCTATTTATGGCCTATTTCTGCCTAGAATCAAATGAGCCTATTTTCCCTTTAGAAAGAAAAGTGTGTTTAATTTTACAGCAACATTTTAAAGGAAGTCAGTGACATGAAAAATAATAAACATAATAAACTAGACATTACTATAAAAAAATCAGTATGAAAAAAAAAAAAAAAAAAAGCAAATCAAGCATCGCAAAGAAAAGCAAGTCTTGAGGCATCAGAAAGCATACTAGATTCTCAATGGCAACATAGCTCGACGAAAGCAGCCTTGCCAATGAGCTCTTTTTTAACTCTTTGTTTGGAACAGAATTAAGAGTGAGTGTTATAGCACTAACAATCTCAGCCTCCTCTTCAAATGACAAAATCCTCTTCTCCAAATCCTAAAGAGTTCAGAAGCTCGTTAATGGAAATGATCATATAATATCAATGACGAACATAAGCCCTTCATGAAGAGGAAAAAATTAAAAAGAAGGAAATTTTTGGCACCAAGGATAACATGCCCGTCACAAGCACAAAACATTTGTAACAATTAATGGTAAGAAATCATAAAATTTGCATCCCAACTGTGAAATGATTAAAAAAACGTAGAATTCTTCACTTAATATGTAAATAATTGGGCTGATGCATTAAGTATATTAATCATTAACCAGCAGAAATATATGACACAAATAAACCTTTTAGTCATATTAATAATATTTTCTAGCAAAAAAAAGAAAATAAATTATTTAGATGATTTGTCCATTGCACCAACCAATGGACTCAGCATATTTTCTTACAGCCATCATAAAATTTTCTTTAAGGATCATATATGTATCTTGATAAGGAAAAGTGTATAATTGGTAGGCATCATAGAAAAAAAAGTGTAAAACCAATTTATAGAGAGTAAAGTCAAAGATGCATCAATAACACCAGCAAAAATATTGATTAGAAAGAATTGAGAAAGAAAAGGGATAAACCTAAGGTAAAAGGGCTAATAAATAGTTATGAGATGCTGTTGACAGATAATAAAAAGGGGAAAAAAACAAGATTTGAAAATTCAACCAAAAACATCCAGGCTAAAAATAATCATGATAAAAGACACTTGGTCAAAATAGGGTGAAATTATTTAGTGAACTCAGATCTACAAGTGCTTGTGATCCGCATACACACACAAAAGAGAGAAAGTTCAAAGCATAGCATATAAAAAACTTCCCAAAAATGAAAGCTAACTACAGTTAAAAAAAAATCTAATGCAAACATATGATCAATATAGTCTATATATTAGTTGAAAATAGTTAACATGCAAGTTTTGAATTTTTTTCATGCCATTCATCATGAACTAAAAAGACATGAGATCTCCAAACTATCAAAACTACCAAATCCTCCAAAAGTAAGCTCGAAGGCCAACTCCAAAGTGGCATAAATAGTATTCATGCAAAACCATATGCACCAACATTTTTCAAGGAATTGATATCTGCAATCCTACGAAATAAAATGCATAATTCAACAAATATATTAGTAGATGTTCTTTAAAAGTTGACCAATTTTTAGTAAACAGCCTCATTGCCATTTTAACAAACAGAAAGTGTTGATTTTGTGCTTTTTATTAGATGAGAAATAGTACCTCTCCAATCCATATAAGAATCTCCAAATTTTGAGGTTCATGAATCAAAATAGAGGCATCTTCACAAAGTTTACGTAGGGCTGATGAGCAAGCAGTTTTGCACATCGAGTCTTTGATCCCAGAAGCACAAAAAATTCTGAAGAGGACGATGTGTGAGTTTTTTAAAAAATCATCAAGATAAGATCTAATCTATGAAAAATCTTACAATAGAGGCATGATGTTATCAGGGACTAGGGAAATCCATCTTGAAAATGAGCCAACAACATCAGCTAAGGATTTATAGACCTGCATTAAAGAATTGACAACTGAGTGATAAAGACTCCCATTATTGTATATATAGTTTGCGATTCAAATTCATGATAGGAAGTTACAAGGTCAAACTACTGTATATATATTTTGCGATTCAAATTCATGATAGGAAGTTACAAGGTCAAACTATGAAAGGGTGCAGTGCAGTAAGCTAGGCAAGAATTTCAAGATACAGTTGAATACTAAACTTACAAAGGGCAACAGACCCTTAAGATCTCCAGATGAGGTACTAGTGAGAATTGTCACAAGCTGCATAACTATTGAGAAAGAAAGCGGAGGACCATGTTGCAGAACTGTTTCAGAGACCTGCAAGATATCATAATTGGTTAAATTGCAACCTAGACAACAATGAAGACGGTAGCTCCAACGCAACTAGGTTTTTCTCTAATATAATACCAAACTAACTAAAAAAGTATCTCAAAATACTGACAAGCACACAAAAAAAAAAAAAGAAGGCAGCTCCCAAAGAAATTTAGTACAGGCACAACCATTAAACGCAAACAATAAATAAATGGCTCCTAAACATGCAAAGGTTGCCACAGCATAAGTCCAAATTGACAACCATCTTATAATCTTAAAATTTACTTGTAATATGATAAGCTTCTTGATCTCCATCAAAAAAAGGAAGGCACCTTTTAAGTGGGTGTGGACTCCTTGAGGAAGCAAAAGGGGGAAGAAGAGATATTTGAAAAAAAAAATAAAGGTGGAAATCTTATTTCCTGAAAAAAAAAATTACAACATTAGGGGTCTATTTATAGTATCTACATAAACTAGTTTTAAGTTTAACAAAAAGTTAGACCAGCTGGTTCCAATGTTTAAAATTGCGTAATCGGGTATTGAGTCGTTTTTCGTTCGTAAGGCGAGGCGTAAGCCTCAAGACGTTTTAAGGCGTAAGCCTCAAAATCAAAAGATTGCGTAAACATAAATTGATAAATTTTTTATATACTGAGTAAATAATATAAAATACATAAAAGCAAAAAATATGAAGTGAAATCAAAATATCCCAATAATAAGACAACATGAAATATAGTTCAACTCAAAATTCTATCTTTCACAAATCACAGTATTCTTTTCATTAACATATAATTCTGAAAATAAATAGCAATGACATGTCACATAAGAACTCCTAAGTCATTAACACTATCATCACTAAAGGGGTCTTCACTTGAATCATCATTATGATGAACTGCTCTCTACCCTTCCTCCTCTCCTAAAGAGTCCAATGTCTCCCAATCAGCTCCTTTTTCAATATCAGTTATCTTCCTCTAATATTTTTGAACAATATCAAAATGAATAATAATGTAATACATTAATAAAAGTCTAAGAAAACTATATTATTTATATACCTTTTTTGGTTTTTTTTTTAATTTTAAGAGGCGGACACCTCTAAAACCTGAGGCAAGGTGTGCCTCGAGGCACGCCTCAGAAAACTTGAGGCGTACACCTCATTCCCTGCTCTCATTGCGTAGGCTTTGAAGCTTAAAAGAATGAAATTGCGCTGAGAAGCGCCTTGAGGTGTTTTGGACTCATGGTAAGAGGAGATGAACATTTGAAAGGAATTTCCTTACATCCTTTAGTGTTTTGGACTCAATTGGAGCAAGGAAGATGGATTTCCTAAGACTTTGGGAAGGTTTCTAAATCAATTTTGACATGATTTAGAAATTCTTGGATAGGAGAGATCTATCCCGATGACTTCTAGGAGATTTAAGAACAAGTTGGGCATGATCTAACAAGAACCTAAGAATGCATGCATATGATGATGATTCTCCAAATTCGGGAATTTTAGCAATCTCACCTTAAACATTCAATTTTGGAACTAATAAAATAGGGTTAGATAATTCCAAAACATGAGGGTCATGGGCCTTTGAGGGTCCATAATACATCTCAAGTTCATTTCTTTGAATTAAATAAGCCAATTTAATTATCTTCCAAACTTTCACAAGTTAAGGATTGCAAACCAAATTATGCAAACTAATTTAGTCAAGTATGCAAACATTTGGCTTGGAGATTTTGCAAGTTGCTCAATTCTCTAAATTTAAAGAGATGTCAAGGATGATTTCAATCAATCTACCCATTATGGGATTTAAAACATGAACAATGAATGTTTATGAAAAACACCACTACTTGTGGGCTTTATAAATTAATTGAAATATAAACATGGACATTTAGCAAATTGAGAGAAAATGACATGTCGTGGCGATGCAAACCTACTATATCTTTAAGTTAGTTTTGGCGTAACTTGTGACTTGCTAAGGAAGAAACGCATGCTACAAGATGTGAAAGTTCCTACACATTATCATTCAATGTATGATTGAGTGATAATACTTAGCCTAAGGTTTGATCATAGGCAAAGGCATTAGACACAAAATGAATGCTTCTAACATGCATTTGAGGAGTCGTCGGAAACAAATCCGACCACCCTACGCATATGGCATGCCTCTTTGACCCTCAAAGGGAGCAAACGAACGAAAATCACCGGATTTCTGTGTTTTACAGAGAGGACAGCACACATAGGTTTTGGGGAAGCAAACAAATGAAGTTTCTAAGGGACCTATGGCTTGAGGACGTCAACCACACAAACATTGGCCTTGGGGGACCCTAGGTCTCACTAAATTTTATGGTTTTACCTCACCCGGCTTGTCCTAGCGCTCCAAACCAAGCTCCAAATGCTGTCCAAGCTCCTTTGAAGGCTCCAAGCTGCTGTCCAAGACTTTCCCAAGGAGGAAGACCACTGTCCAAGCCTTTCCGGAGGTCGCCGCCGCTGTCCAAGCCTTTCGGGAGGGTGGATTTGCTGTCCAAACTGCTTCGGACAGAAGTTTTCGCTGTTTGGATGCTCCCGGAGGCCGTCGCTTGCTGTCCAAGCGTTCCAAACAGCAGTTTGCACCGCTTTGAGGTCGCCGGAGATGATTCAGAAGGAAGTAGAGGCTTCCTACCTACTTTTGGCTGTAGCAAAGGCTGATTTTAGCACAACTTTGCCCTAGACTTTGGAAGAGAAGCTCACAAACAGCAGCAAAAAGAAATTTCTGCTCTCTAATTGAAGGAAAAAGGTGATGGAAGCAAGAGAGACCTTCCTTTCAGTCCAAAGAAGGAGAAAACAGCAGCTATAGAAGGCAAGATCTCCTCTTCACTTGGCTTCAACTCCAAAAAATGCATGCAAGGAGGAAGGAGCTTGACCGGCCTTCCCTCTTTGGCTAAGTCGCGTGCAAGAGGCCACTGGTCGACCTCTTTCCCCTACCTGGACGGGCCGCACGCAAGCAATAGCCGAGTGGCTCTTCCTTCTCTTCCGCCTGCATAGGAACGGACGCAAGCAGCAAGCCGCACGGGGGGATTTTTCGCCTCTTGCCCTCTCTCCCGCGCTCTCTCTCTTTTTGTTTGGGATGGACTAAAAAGAAAAACCGGGGTAGCCGTATCCATCTCCCCTCTTCTCCTTTTGTTTCCTTGAAGGCGCACAAGGCACCGCCCAAATGTCCAGTCCGGCTCTCTCATTTCGCAAAACGAAGAGAAAACACTTGAGTAGATTTTCTGATGGATTTGTGATGCAAGCAAAAATTTGATAAGGGGGCCAAATTTTTGCAAGCGAAATAAAGACTCTTCCTAGATAAAATAAAGACTCAAATAAATCCAAAAAAAAAACACTTTTTATAAGATAAAACAATATTATAACTTGGACACTTACAAATGACTCAAACAAGGAACCTTACAAACAACACTTACAATCTTCAAGACCAAACTTATATAATAAAAACCTAAACTTGATTTGCCTTCAGAAGAAGGATGCAGGTGGAATGAAACTTACGGAGAGACGAAAGAGGTTAGAAGCCCGAGAAGAAAGAGGAGAAGCTCACAAGCCTTCCTAGAAGAAGCGAAGAAAAAGTAGACAAAGCTCGCAAGCTTTTCCAAAAAACCCTCAGGTTTTCTTACTCCAAAAATAACATTTTTCACTTCTCCTATTTATAGACCAAAAGAGGGAATACAAACAGCCACTAAAACTCTCTAAATACTTAATTAAATGAGGGAAATGAAAAGCCAACAGCCACTTTACTGCCTTCCCCCAAATCTACACAGAAAACAAAGCACCACAAGCTACTGAAAAGCCCCCAACAGCCACGGGAAAACAGCCCAGGCGGAACCCGAAGAGGCAGCCGCAAAAACCAAGGAGGTTTGCGTGGAACCGAGGCACCAAGGCACAGGAAAACCACCCAGCACAACCAACTAATAGTCAGCCACGGAAACCCACGGGACAAAGGCACAAAAACACCAAGCCAGCATAGGAACCCAAGAGAAAAACTCGAAATTTTAAAAAGAAAAGGGGAGGAGAAGAGACAAGATTAATGAGCTACCAATAAATTAATAAATAAACTAAAAACATAGCTCATAATGAGCTAACTTTCAGCTCAAAAATTAATAAGCTAGCAAGCTCAAGGAAAGTCAAAACCCAAATTTTTGGATTAGGTTTGACCCCCCCCCCCCCTTGCCTACATCAGACTCCCCTACTTGGAGAACTCATCTCCTGATGAGTTGGCTTTTATTTTCTTCCGAGGAGACGAAGTCGGAGCATCCAGTTCTTAAATTTTTTCTACCTTTTTAGAATTTCTTCTCGTTCTTGCGGAAATTGATCTTTTAAACGTTGTTTCTTCTTCATGTACCTCTCTGTACACAAGTGCATCCAAGATTGAAGTTTGTACAACTCATATTGCAGGGGGTTTGTTGACTTTGATGGAATCCATCTGTCCATCGAAAGAGGGTCTTCAATTTCTTCTGGCTTTCTTTCTTCCTTGACTGAATCGATCCTTTTATCTTTTTCCTTTTAAAAAAAAAAGACTCAACAAGACTCACAAGACCTACAAACCTAAGACTTCCTAACTTGCTCTGATACCAAAATGATGCAAGTAAAAATTTGGGAAGGGGCCCAAATATTTGCAAGCGAAATAAAGACTCTTCCTAGAAAAAATAAAAACTCAAATAAATCCAAAAAAACACTTTTAATAAGATAAAGGATTATTACAACTTGGACACTTACAAATGACTCAAACAAGACACCTTACAAACAACACTTACAATCTTCAAGACCAAACTTATATAATAAAAACCTAAACTTGCTTTGCCTTGAGAAGAAGGATACAGGTGAAATGAAACTTGCGGAGAGACGAAAGAGGTTAGAAGCCCGAGAAGAAAGAGGAGAAGCTCGCAAGCCTTCCTAGAAGAAGAGAAGAAGAAGTGGACAAAGCTCGCAAGCTTTTCCAAAAAAACCCTCAGGTTTTCTTACTCCAAAAATAACATTTTTCACTTCTCCTATTTATAGACCA